GTCACCGCCCTCCTCCTCCTCCTCCTCCTCCTCCTCCCCCCCCCCTGCCACGTCATCACAAAACCCACGCCCCCAACAATAATAGCAGTAGCCCTAACAATCTCACTGCTCTCCAATGCGAGCACTTCAGCTCGTAAGCTCGCCCTCTTGATTTCCCCCAGATTTTATCAGAATAAGGAAAAAAACACCTTCTCATTTTTTCTAATTTTTGGGGGAAATTTGTTTTGTAGGTGTTCGGGTTGCTCGCACGAGTGGGATTTGGACAGGCCGCACGTGCTGCAGGAGGCTGAGAAGTTCTTCAAGGATTTTGGAGTCTCTGATTTCACCTTCGACGCTTGTAGATTGGTGAGTCTCAGTTCATGCAATCTTTTTATTATAATTTTAGGGTTTAAGATGCAAATGACAGTGAATTATTTCCCTATAAGCATCAATTTGTCGTAAAGATGCTTTCTTTTTCCTCGTAAGCGAAAAGCCTGTAGGATTCTAACTTCATGATTGGATTTTGCAACTGGATTTCTTCTTCCAGTCTCTGATGAGTAAATTTCTCAATGAAGGATTTTGTGATAGACCGTTTTGTGAGACGATGGCAACGAGTTTTGACATATAGTAGTTCCTACTATGGACTCATAGTTAATTACTGCTAGCATTTTTAGGGGGAATCATTGAAGAAATTATATTGCTAGCATTTCTTGTGTATCAAAGGCCTTGGTTATTGAGTCCGAGTCTTGGATAATGGGTCAAAACTCAATAATAACTCAATTTCGGATTGATCTCTTGGATAATGGGTCAAAACACTTGGTTTTTTAATATACTTCAGTAATAAGCATTACTTCTCCTTTCCTTGTTTGCATCAATTATATTCTTTTTTGTTCCCAATTTGGATTCTAGTGGGAATGGAGATGTAGAGCAAAGCTGGCTGTCCGAGGATCCTCTGAAAGCCCATTAATCGGGCTGTATCAAGAAGGCACACATAATGTTGTAGATATTCCACTATGTAGAGGTAAGCAATCTATTCTGTTCAAGTTTAACTTGATTCCTGAGTTCTAATAATTTTGATAGAGATTAGAAAGGATTTGGAAAAAGTACGTCCTTTCTCATCAATTCAATGCTATATATAGTTTTGAAAGTAGAAATGTCTGGTTAATGCTAATTGTATATTAGAAACAGAAATCACTCCAGACTTTGGATGAACTTGTTTTCGCAAAGAAAATTCTTCGGAAAACTTCACTAGCTGCTCAGTTTTTATGGCATCCTAGTGTTCAAACATAATCTTGTATGTGTTTTCTATGAGTTGGCCTGCCCCCCGCTCCCCCCCCCCACCCAGCCCCCCACCCCTACCCCATCCCCCACCTCAATTAAGCATTTTTGCGTTTACATTATCTTTGATGAAGTTGTAAAAATTCAACAAGAGTTTGAATTCAGTGATTAGTCATGAATGTTTTGAACTGGATAGTCTCTTAGTCTTAGACCATACTTTTATGCTCATCCCATGACTTGTTCTAGTTTGGTCGTCAGTTGATATCTTGATACTTGTCTTCATATGTTACTTTATCAAGCTGTAACTAGAATTTGATGATTCTTTGTCGCATGTATCTTCATCTGATAAACTTTCATGTGCAGCTCATCACCCAAACATCAATGCTGCAGTCACTCTTCTGAAACAAGGCATGCTCTTGATTCATTCTCTTTGTGTCTCTATGAAGTGGGTTTTCCCTTTTTGTTGATGTATCTAGTCAGCTTAATTATTTTTACCTCGTTTTAGGCATTTCTACATTGAATATTCAACCATATGATGAAGATTCAGGAACTGGTGAACTCAGATATGTACAGGTCAGTGGTATCTTAGCGCAGTGCATATGTTATATTATAATTGTGCATATATAACTGCACTCACATCACTAAGGACCATTCTCTTAGAATATATATTCTTTGTTTCTTTGTATTTAAAAACATATCAGAGAACTTGCATCTGATTATACTTCAGGTGACAATAGCTGGTCTTTGTTTTATTATATTTACTGGTAGACGTCTAATTCTCTGATCATTTTGAGGTAGCTCCTGAGAGCAAGGAATATGTAACCACTACCAATCCATGAACGTAGTCCACAACCAAGTGCCTAATGCATCATTATAACTTTGACCACAAACGAAGTAGGTAGGTTTATATAATGTGACTTCTACAAACTTGTTATTCTGGATTTGCAGATGGCCGTGACAACATATGACACATCCCTTCCAACTGCTGAGCGATACCTAAAAGGTATAGACTTTACCTTGTTCCTTTTTTTCCATTCAAAAAGCAGAATCGACTCAGATACTTGATCATCCTTTTTCTTTATGGTATTTCCAGGAAAAGTACAGGTGTCACTGGTTTGGAACTCTAGAAATGAAAACTCACAAAGTTCTGAGCAGTTGAAGGCCCTTTCAGATGTGAGTTCCACTTTCAATGTCAGGCATATGACAAGGATAAGATTTCCCTATTTCTTCTTGATTGGGTCAACCAATATATTTTCAAGCATGCATGGCTTCTTAGCTCCAATTGCAGTTTGTTCTTGAGCTGAAATTGTTACTTGAGGTGTATGCATTTGTTGATATTTAGAGGACACCTATCGTTTTGTTTGCAGTTCTTATGGAGAAATGGGGGGTCAAGCAGTAACGTACATCTAATCCATTCGATATGGGTCAACTTTCAGACGTCAGCTAGCAATGTAAGCTACATGTGATGGTCACTGCATATTTCTTTTGTATTCAATGCTGATATCAATCTTGTTTGCTGTAAGTGGCTTTGTGTTAGTTTCAGCCATAAGGAATCGCTGGCGAGGTCCGTTTCTATACTGATGTTCTGTAGTCTTCTCCGCTGATAAGACTAGAGAACTTACTACTGGAATTATTAGTTATTGTTTGTTGTTGCTGATGTGGTAATCAGTTTTCCTTCGAGCACATGAGCATGTAGTTAGGTCCTTCACAGACTCTTTATTGTTCGCTTGTCCATCCTTGATTCTTTTTAAAGTTGATTTCTCTTCCTTAACCAGCTGGCAAGACAAATCCTTCCATGCTTATAAGCATCCGTTTAATCCCAGTTTCTTGCACCCTTTTTTCATGTTGGTCTTCCTTATCTTTCCTTTGATTTTCATTTGGTGTAAGTAATGTGCTGTTTACTTTATCCTAGTATTACTGGTGATTATTTTCTAGATATTTTTCTGTTTGTGGACATTTTGCTATCAATTTTTAGTCATTCCCCACAATATTTGCCCTTGTTCGTTTAATAAATACATGTTCTTTGTTCTCATTCTTCTTTGTATTTGTTTTCCAAGGTTTAGTTCCTCGTTGGTTCTGTGTCTTTCCCTGTAATGATCTTATCATGTTACCATTTTTGGTACCCTTATTAATTTAGGTGAATATTGGTACGCTGATCCTTGGTTACATGAGATTAAAGTGCATGATAAGTTTTTGTTCTGTGTTTTTGTGAAAAAAGAAGACAAACCTTTTGTGCCACATCCACTTAATGCTTAGGAAATCACAAATGCTGAAGGTTCTTCTGTATTTGCAGATAATATTTGGAAATAGGTGGAGACATCTTCTAGGCGAAAGAGAGTTTTGGGAACATATTGGTGGGATTGATATCTCTTTGGACCCCTCAAGCTTTGGTCAGGCAAATACGCAGGTAAAATAAGCTTATATTAGATCATAAAGGAATATGAACATAAAGACACCGTCCATTTAGCTCTTCAAATGATTTCAATTCCTAAATTAGTTTGAGTTCATTTTAACTTTTATACAGCTTTTCTACTTCGTCTAGTTGTTTAGTTTTGTATTAATTGGGTATTTTTCTGTTTACATACCATTATTATCTTTAAATGTGTCACCGAGTGCTGCAACATATTACGCAGCTATTTATACGTCAATTAGTCTATCTGTATCCTATTCATGGACTAAACTTTTATTGCGGATTACATGATTTTTTTTTCGGGTACTCATTTTATTTTGTGCTTACTACTATGGCATATGCTTACTGGAAATATACTGCAAATGCATTTGATTCTTCATTGCAAAACTGACTAATACTGTTAATAGCGGCTACGAACTCTGCCAATCCTTGCAGGCATTTAATTCATTGCTAAGGAGATTGCAGAAATATGTTCCATATGGATCATCTGTCGTTGATTTGTATGCAGGGGCTGGCAGCATTGGATTATCAGTTGCTGTCACTAGGAAATGTAGGCAAGTATTAGATTCTTATATCTGAAGACATTTGTATTATGATCTAAAATATTGATTTTTCATTTCAGGTCTGTGAAATGTGTTGAGATAAACAAGGAATCAAAGCTGTCTTTTGAGAAGTCACTCAACCGTTTACCAAAAACTGTTGATTGCAACATCAGTTGGCACAACACAGATGCTTCACTTGTATGCATACAAACCTCAAGTTTTGAAACATTTGTAAAGAATCCATGTTAGTTTGTTATTATTAATTAATTAATTGCAGGAACCACTTCATTGGCTTGAGGGTTCAGAAGTCGTCATTGTGGATCCTCCGAGGAAAGGACTGCACCCATCCCTGGGTGAAGCACTGAGAGCACTTTCTAATAGGAAGAGTGTTGCTGCAAGTGGAAGGTAACTTCTATAATTATGACATTTTGGGAACACTATTTGCTTAGTACCTTAGTTATCTTGTATAGTTTGCTTCAAAGTCTGGCACCTGAAAGCTCCCTTTTGAACTTATAATCCTCTCTCCATGCTAATATATTGACTGTATTTGACATCCTTATATTTTTTACTAGTTCCACCGTGAAGGTGAAAGATGAAAAGAGACCATGGATTCTGCGTGCCAGAGAGGCCTCTGTTCATGTTGATAGCAAAACTGATTGGGAGAAAGGCCAAACATGGCCCCAAACTTTGATCTACATTAGTTGTGGATGGGAAAGCTTTAAGGAGGTATTAATGGCTGCTGTAATCTTACTAAGTGATGCTGTTGAAAATTTGTTTGCATTTTATAGCGTAGATTCGATGTCTATTTGTTTGAATTTTCTCTGGATCTCAGGGTTATCATTTTCCCCCCCTTATCTATATAAAATACCCCTCCTTTTTATCCTTTAGGAATTATTGATTAAATCAAGGGTGTTACAGGATTGCAGAAATTTATTGTCTACTAAGACATGGCGTTTGGAAAAGGCCCATGCTTTCAATTTTTTCCCTGGCACTCAGAGGTACAGTACTAATGGCTTACCTGAAGTAGCTGCCTATTCTTCTCATTCTTATTATGTTATTATCTAGGACAAATTTTGAAAAACGACTCTTTTTTAAATTTAATAGGCAAAATCGACCGTGTAACAATAAAATGAGCAAAATCGATCCTTTTTTGCACGGGACTACTAGTCCCGTGCAAAAAAGGGTCGCTTCTGCAAAAAAAAATTTGTCCGGTCCTCAACCCATCCCCTCATTCCCCCCCCCCCCTCTCTCTCTCCTTCATTAACCCACCCCTCTCCGCTCTCTCTCTCCTCTCCTCCAATCCCACACCAGACCCCCTCTCTCATCTCCGTTCCTCTCTCCATCTCTCCTCCTCTCCCTCAAACCCAACAACAACCCATCACCCTTCTCTCTCTCCTCCATTCCCCAAACACCAGCCCAACCAACTCTTCCACTTCCACGCCCAACGCCCTCCTCCATCGCCATGCGGCCGCCCAAGCCGTGCCACCTCCTCGACCTACACCCGACCACCTCCCTGAGCCCAAGCTCCGACCCGCAGCCCCCTCTCCCTCCAACCCCCTGCTCCACCGCCTCCTCATCATCTCCCACCATCAGCCCCGACGCCGCCCGCTGAGCTCAACTCCACCTCCTCCGTCAGCTCGCCGCCGCCGCTGCTCCTCCGTTCCCCTCAGCCCGACCACGCTACCACCCGCGCAGTCACGCCGAGCCGCCGCACCACCCAAGCCCTCCCCGCTGTCCCCTTTCAGCCTGACGCCAAACCACGAGCCCCGCTTCTCCTCAGCCTCGCCGATGCCTCCTCCAACAGCCCCGACTCCCCTCCTTCTTGCAATCCGTGCGCTCCAACCCACCACGCCGCTTCCCTCGACCAGATCCACCACCAGCCAGATTCGCCCCGCTCCTGAAGAACCGCAAGCTCGACACGTCTACTACGTGAGCTATGAGCGGATCAGCGTCGCGGCGAGATGCTCTCCGTACCCCCGTCGACGGATTTCGGAGCGAAGTGCGGCGTGCTGTGGTCCAGCAGTGCAGGGGGGTTGAATGAGCGAGAGTGTCGGGGGTTTTTTTTGCAGAAGCGACCCTTTTTTGCACGGGACTAGTACTCCCGTGCAAAAAAGGGTCGATTTTCCCCATTTTATTGTTACACGGTCGATTTTACCTATTAAATTTAAAAAAGAGTCGTTTTTCAAAATTTGTCCTATTATCTAATATCCTAGAATTTCAGCTTCTCCAAGGTAGCAATTCTTTTCCTTTTGTCCTTTGCGTAAAATATCCCAGGCTTCATATTTATGTATATGCACAAATGTGTAAGTCCGTGTCATATTGAAGAGCTTGGTAGTTGTTGTAGTTATGCTTCCTCTTATTAATGATTTGTTCAGGGATGATGTATTCTTGCTCGCTTTGGGTAACTTATCCAACTAATTACTTACTGATGTATACCTGTTACTTAGATTGGCATTATATTAGACCTCTTATTTCAATGTTTGGGTATGAATATCCAAGATTGACGTTGTTGTAAATGTACTTCAACCTGTCACTAATCGGTACACTATGGTTCGAACAACCTAAATACTTCTTGGGCTATGCTCATACCAACTATAACTATACGACATTGATGCAGCATTGAAGTTTTGGCTGTCTTCAAACGTGGACCACGAGTCAACCAGAAGAAAAAGAAAACAGGGAAGAAGAAGAAGAAAGCATAGGAAGATAAACCACACACATGAATACTTCAAAGCAGAGAACATGTGAACGCTCAGCAAAAAAGAAATTCCTCTACAAAAAAAGGTAGCCCTTTTCTCTGAGATCTCTCATAAGCATATTACCAGAGAAGGTAGCCCTTTTCTCTGAGATCTCTCATAAGCATATTACCAGAGCAATGAAGACTGCTTTTTTTTTCCCCATCTCTTCTGAGGGGGGTAAAATATCAAGAGGACGCTTCTGCGTTCGTATCTCTTATTATGTGTTACTTAATCTTACATTTGACAACACATCTATCCCCAGAGATGAATTCAAATTCATGTAGGGGATATTGTCATCCCTTAATACATTTACTCTTTGATCCTGTAACCAATTTTGCCAGAATTTCAGTGCCTCATTGAGGTTTCTGAATCAGGCCATACTGAAACATGGTTCTATTTTATGGACCTATCCCTTGAAGTTTGGCTTCCATGATTGGCTCCATATTTATTGATAAAGCTTGGTTGTTAACGGTGATAAAAGAATATGCTATCTTTGTCCTGTTTCTGTTCTGTATCTGGACATTGATAGTACTTTTTGCACCTTTTTGCTTGACAGATCAAGGAATAGGATCCTATATGTTATTGGCCATGAGAGCTTAACCTCGTTGGAGATTTCTGCAAATCCGAGCAATCTTCGAAAGAGCAAATGGAAAGTGAGGCTGTAATATGTTGGAAAACAACCTGATGTGGCTTGTAAGAATGTCCAGGGGTTTTTGAGAAACAGATGAAACCAGTATCAGTGCCTCCATCCTATATGAATCCTGATTCTCCTTGATCCTTTTTTTTTTTTTGCCTCGTAATCATTGTACTAAGCTCATATGGGTTAGAATTGCTCAGTGATTGTGCGAATGCGAAGTGTTGAGAAGAGATGCATTGGGATTCAATGTTGTACTGAGTATAATATTCTTTTTCCACCCAATTTTGTAAAAGACGATTGAACAGTTGAATCTGTCCTACGAAAGTACTGCTTCCCACTAAATCTTCATAGCAGATAAAAATTATAATAAAAAAAAGTGACAAGCAGGTTTGGGTTGAACACTTGGAATTTGAACTGGGCATAAATTTAAAGTTAACTTAAAAAATATTATTCTGTCCCGAGAGGTTGGTTTTGACCCATGAAAAGGATGCTCAAACTAGGTCGTGTTAGAATGTGAAAATACACTCCTCAACCCTGGCCACAACTTCGGATTAACTTTCAGGCCAAATGAGAGTTTGCTTAAGCTTGAAACTTTGGTTTATCAGGGGAGTAATATAACATATACCTGAGGTCAGTACTTCACAATATGAAGGGCTCTCCTAGTTTGTAGGTTCCGAAGAAGTAGTGCTCTAATTCTTCTGCCATTTTTCTGAATCTCATTTTTCACCAAAAAATTCTTTAATTTCTTGTGTCATCTGAGAAACAATGAGATGAGTTTCCTCATCTATGCGATCCGAGCTGCCATGTCCGCTACCGAGCTTCCTTGGTCATTATAGAAGCAACACATATCCGCACATTACTTCTTCAATTACTCGATGGAAGTACAAAATAGAACTTTTCTTTTATTTTCGTTGTTAGGATGAATAAGCATCTATTAGGTATGGCCATTGACCTAAGGAGATGATACATGAGCTGCTTCACCTAATAACGCATGCTAATCTATGTTTGATATGGTTCCAAGTTTTTATTTGTCTTCATATGCATATACTCATATCCTCTCCGCTTACGGTTATAATATACTTAGTAGCACCGTAGTATACATAAATAACTTCAAAAAATGGGCATAAGAACACCGTAGAGGCTAGGTACTGTTACATTAAATTCTGACTTTCCTTCACAGAGTGCATACAATCGAGGATCAGCTGCAACTTGAATGTTACAAAACAATCTTTGGAACGTGTTACAAAAATCCAATTGTAGACCCATTATTTCAGAAAATGAATAAATAATATTGCGGACGCATATATAACATACTACATTGCTAAAACGTTGCAAGAATTTTTTACTAATAGTTTGAAACTGCCAAAAATAAAGCACCATCGAGCAAGGGTTAGTAAATAGACTCCGCTGTTCGAATCCAAATCAAAGCATGTAACTTCCAGTGAACGTCAGGCCCACAAAGTTGTTCTACGTTGTAAATATATTGACTATTGAGATGTAAAGAATTGGTATATGGAATGTAAATACTGCACAAAGAGGCTAACTACCTGAGCTTCAGCTCTCTCATCTTCAACAGGAAGGCATTAGTGAATATAAGACCTCAAACGGAGCAAATCAATGGATCACAAGCTTTCTCAAGCGAAAAAGACATAATTGCATAATATAATAACTTCAAGTTCTCACGCTTCAATTGTGGAATAAGGACTAAAACCCATTCCCACTCAAGTTTGTATAGAACGATGAAGGTTGCTCCGCAGAATGGCCTGAAGATTTCCTCAATCTAGGATTTCGAGGAGAAGCTGTGTATGGTGAACTGTAGTCATTGGGGGAGGCATAGAAAGAGGAAGGCAGGCCTTCAACCATTGGCAACCCAGTTGAATCATTCATCAGGTTATATCCTTTCTCAACAGTTTCAGCTTCAAGGGGTAGCTCATCTAGAGTCTAATCAACAAAAAATAAAACAGGAACACAAAACAATGAATACAGACAACATTGATTAGTAACAACTGATGATAATAAAAGGAGCAAAGGAGTATTTACCCTATAAGCCTGTTCCAGAATTCGGAGTGTCTCTTGAATATGTTTTCTTTTGGCAGCTATATCGTCGGGTTCCTTGAGCATCTCCTCGAAAAGATTCTCTCTAATTGGACAACAAACAAAAACGATATTTCAAGACAGGTACTTTCACTATTTCCAGATTAATTCAAAGGCCTTGTTTGATAGCTAAAAGATGATGATTCATACCTGTAAAGTTTCCTAATAAAAACATTATGCAACTCCCTTTTTGCATGATTAACCTGAAAAATGAGTGCAAGTTATGGGGAATACATCCAGGACCACAACAAAAGAATGATTAAGAAAATCAAATTTTTACTTCAACCAGAATCAACTCAGGGACGAATCCCTTATCAAGAGCATAACATATCTCATACGAATGTCAAAGCTAACACAACAAAACTGGAACAGTTGGATTGAAGTTTATCTGAAGTTTAGATATTGTGTCATTGCAGTTTTCAAGGTTCAGATTAATTTTCAGATTTATGGGCAGATAATTTCAAGTGTTGCCAGCAAAATTATGCATTAGTCTGAGCTCGAGGTGTAAAGCAGGAATTTATTTCACATATGGTGCATTGTTGTCTACTATGTTTTACGATACTGAACAACAGTAAATCGTTCCTATCAGCACAAATAATCCTACATTGGCAACATCAGCAGCTAACAGTGGATATTAGTCTACAGGATGTAGCAAATAATATGTTCTGCAATAAGAATATTACTTTTGTTAAAAATATTATAAAAACAGGTGAAAAATATCTAAGCATAGATATAGGTCCTTGTGTACATTGGAAAATAAATGCCTAAAATATAATCTATTTATAACATAGATATCATATTGCCTGCCTTCTGCACCAATGTGGTTACAACTACTTTTTAGATCGTATATGCAATTTGCAGTTTTTAAACACATGCATATTCTCAAAGTTTTTGGTGGTATATGCAATTTGCAATTTTAAACACATGCGTATTCTCAAAGAAATTCGTGTAAAGATATATACACAGAAGTTTACACATTTACGAATACGTATAGTAAGCTGGGAACCTTGGGTTCAATCTGATAATGACATTTTTCCTGACAATGACACAATCCTATCTCAATAATGGTTCTGCACTTCTATCTCTACAGCTTTCTGACAAATTAAAATGGTGAAACAAATAAGTATTTGATGCATCATGAACTACCATATTAATATTGTTCAATAAGCACAGAATTACCAACACATGCTGATTAAAAAAAACATGGCATCATACTTATATAAAGTGGTATTGCCCTTGATTAACGAGAAGACTATCCGCAGATGGGAGTTTGAATGGCACCAGTGAATATTTGACTAGACAAGCAGTAAATCTTTGATGAAACAACAATGTCTGTAGTAAAAGACAAAATGACAAGCTACTGAACCAGAATGCACAGAGACAAGGTAACTTACCAGGAAGTGCATAATTGCTTTAGGAACAGAATCCTCAATATTTTTCCTCACAATATCATAATATGATTTCAATAACAATTTTGTGATTGCTATCTCCATGACTTCCTGCTCTGTCTGATTTTCTGAAGGCTTCAAGATGATAGGTGGCTGAGTAGTTTTGCTCAGTTAGTTACATTGTCTGACTCCAAAGGAATTGAAGAACTTGATGGCATGGTAGCATAATCAAAAGGTTTGTAAATTTCGTTTACCTCTGTTAAATGGATGGATGAGAGTGAATGCTCCATGTTGCTTACAGACAGAGGGTGGGGCTTGTTTACTGAGCTCTCTTTTGGATGTGCACGATTCTCATTAACACCAAAAATTGATGAAATACCCCAACTTGATCCCGCTGAGGCTCCTGTTTCATCATTCAAGTATCAGCTAGGGCATGATCTCATCATATTGCAGAATGAACAATAAGCTGAAATGCAAAAGAAATTTGGTTTTTTAGGTGATAACATGTAAGCATAAAATCAGCTGAGGTTCTGTAACTACCTCAAGGGTACAAAGTGGACAATAAAAATTTAATATTTCATAGTAGATAGAGACTTGTGGTCAGATAACACAATGATTTCCATAACTAGGTTATCAAAATTTCATCAGAATAAGCGAGAGAAAGATTTTATCAGATACAAACATCTAAAATTTTCCAAAGGAAACAATACAAATATGACAACGTAAAATAACTCAGATTTCCTTCATTCTGCTTACGAAGTATAAGCTTACTAACCAGAAGAAGCTGGTCTCTCAGAATCCACAACAGGTCGAATGCCCTATTTACCATTATAAACAAGCAAAAGGTTATGATAACTTAGATTCAATAAATAATTAAATCTGTAATGAAAACATAATATTAAATAAAACAGCCTGAACCTGATCAGGAGCAATACCATTCGCACCGGATCTACCTAAAATGGCTCGAGACTTCTGAGTTTTTTCAGATGCCTGAAGTTTGTCAGTATCTAGCCCATCCTACATTGGTAACAGGCAACATCAGCATATTTCAGAAAGTACAAAAAAGGAACTTGGGCCAAAAATGTGATGTCAATTGTCATAGTTCCCACACCTTGAAATGTGTATAGATATGTTAAAGGTTGGTTTATGATTGAAGAGAAATGATGTTCAGAAGTATTCTGGGAACTCTTAAAAGTGTCTAAAATCCTGCAGCAGAATATCCATGGAAATTACTTTAAGGCTTTCATTGGCAAAAAATCGTTTTCAATACTTCTTTGGAAGCTTACTTAAGAAGAAAAAGTCAATGACATGAGAAAAGAGGTGGAAGTAATTAGTAAATTGTTGAAGCCCACATTATGAGATTTCTTTAAAATTCTTTTAAAAGCTCAAAACTTGGGGATAGAGGAAAACACACGGTTTCTCTTGATTGGAGAAGCCATCAGAATGGAATGTTCCCATCTTTTCTCGTTGGCCCTTTTTGCTCACAGGTTGCTCCTTCTACAGTTGAAGTTACTAATTATTCTTCCTCCTTCCACATCCATTTTTAAATAAAAACCAACATCAAATCCAGTTTTCATCCCAACAACAACCAAGCCTTTATCCCAAATTTGGGTCGGCTACATCATAATCTTTCATTCAGTCCTTTAAAAGCTGAGATTCTCATCCCAGTTCTCCCATGAAAATTCCGTCATCATCCAAGAAATGCCTTCCAAATCAACTCCAGACCATTCAGTCTCAAAATCAAATAAAGATATATTTCAATAAGCACTTTCCATGTTTCGCATAGCAGCTTCTAAACAACCTTAAACAAGTCCTTAAAGAGGAATGTTGTACAGCGAGGATGACAGATTGGTCGCTTTTGAAACAAGAATTTAGATCACCCCAGGAAACTAAAAAAATGACACATGATTTTGAATTACCTGGAACAGTCTTAATTAATACCAGCACAAATGTTACTCCAAATAAAGCAGAGACAAGAAAATTACATATCATACTGTATACAGAGCATACTCTTGATTCTTAGTAAACAAAAATATACCTTAGATCTGGGCAATGATGCTGCTGACTTGGAAGATTTTACTTGCTGTGCACTCTCTACAGCTTTTCTGCCACCAATGAAATTTGGATGTGATGTGTTTATGTAGTCCATCTGCAAGATCAGTTAATCAAATGACTTCTCAAAAAATGAACATTATAGCTAAAGCCAACTCGTAAAAACAATAAACTTGGAAAAGGAAGGAAAGAAAGGAGATGAAAAGATAAAAGGGTGAGAAGCTCCAATAGCTGATGTTTGTGCAAACATTTAGAACACACATCTTCACAGACAATACAAAGGTACAAGTGTTATCTAATGGAGAAATTGAGTATGAAACATTTGTTTGACTATTTTTTAACCTTCTTCTTTTGTCTGT